CACCTCCAATTCATTTAGTTCTTTTCACGGCGATTTCTCTTTTTCATTTGGGTGTTGTTTCGTCTCCCCATTTTAGTGGGCCTGTTGTCTGGGGGCACCATGACAAGGCTTCAGGACGTGAACAAGGCCTCATGCCTGGTAGTCCTGGGACACCGGGGCAGGCAGCCAGGTCATGATGGCAGGCCTGTATACCTGGGAGGCGTTGGGTAATGATGGCAGAGGTGGGTGCACTACATCAAGGCTGTAGGCCAGGTAGGCAGGCAGGCCATGTGTACTGCATCAAAGAGGCACAGCAAGCAGGCCGGCAGACCAGGCACACACCATCAAGGGGGTCGGCCAGGCAGGCAGGTAGGGCAGTTGAGTGTGCCCCTTCAATGAGGCAGGCTAGGCATGAAGGCCATGGACTGTGGATCAAGGGGGCATGGTAGGTAGACAGGCAGGCTGGGCGGGTACTGCTGGCAAGCAGGAGGGCAGGCAGGTAGACAGGAAGGCTGGCAGGCAGGCTGCGCATGCCCTGCCAAGGAGGCAGGCAGGCAGACTGTCTGTGCTGGATCGGTGAGGCAGTGTGGCTGTCAGGGGTGTTCTCGTTTAGGTGCACTGGGTCACAGCATCAGGCCAGTGTGGTAGCACTGGGTCTACCCCCAAGGGGCTGTGCACTGTCTGTGTTCTGGAGCGCTGGGTGGGGTTGCTCTCCACAGCCTCCTCCCAAGGAAGACCCTAAAGATCCTCCAAAATGGCACACTCTCCACTCTCAGTCAGAGAGGAGCATTGGGCTGAGCGGCACGGTGGTGGTGGTAGCTCCTCCAACACGAGCTCCAAACCTCCAGGGAGCTCCCGCACTGACTGACAGATGGCCCCCACACTCATCCCCACGCACACTCTCCCTCACACACACTCACCCACTCTTACTCTCATTTTTAGTCAGGTCCTTATCTGTCTTCATCTTCCTGTTTGAGCATTTTTAATGTGCTTATTGGCCATTTGTATATATTTTTTAGAGAAATGTCTATTCAAGTCCTTTGCCCATTTTTAAATTAGTTTGTTTTTCTGTTGTTGAGTTGTAGAAGTTCACTAAATATTCTGGATATTAACCCCTTATCAGAAATATGATTTGCAAATATTTTCTTTTTTACCATGGGTTGACTTTTTACTCTGTTTATTGTGCCCTTTGATGCATAGAACTTTTATATTTTGATGTAATCTAACTTACCAATTTTTTCTTCTATTGAATGTGCTTTTGGTGTCACATCTAAGAAATCATTGCCAAATCCAATGTCATGCAGGTGTCTTCTCCTGTGTTTTCTTTTAAGAGTTTTATAGTTTTACCTCTTACATTTAGGTCTTTGATCTGTTTTGAGTTAATTTTTTTATATGGTGTGAGAGGGCACACATTTCGAGCTTTCTTTTTATCAGACTGGTAATTAGATGTTCTAAGTATAAACAGTAGAGATATCTGGGAGGAAAATGATGTGTTCTGGGAATCCCAAATGAGTTGCAGAGTGGAATGATGGGAGATGAGGCTGGCAAGATGTGGACTTGAGGTTGATTGTGCAATTGGAAACATTTTTAAGTGTCTACCATGTCCAGATTTGAGGTTTAGAATGATCATTCCAGAGGTGGATGAAGGATGGACCAGAGAATAGAGAGGCCAGGTGGAGGCTGCTGCTGGAGAGTAGGTAAGAAGCTTTAAAGCACTGAGTGCACTCAGGCAGTGGCACTGGAGTGGTGATCAGGGAACAGATGCAGGAGATAACTAAGGCAGAAATTGGTGACTGAATGTAGGGGCTGAAAGAGAGTATTTAGGATAATTATTAACTTTCTTGCTTGGGTAACTGGGTGATGAATGTGATTTACTGAGAAAAGACATTTTGGGGTTCCTCCTCTTGAGAGCAGGAACTTCTATCAGTTTGAGTCACTGCTACATCCTCAATGTCTAAGACTGTGTGCCTGGCTCACAGTACAGACTAAGTACATATGTTATGAAAGAATTAATAAAGAAAAAGAAGATTGGCAGAGGGAATAAAAGGTGAGTTCAGTGACATCTATGTATATAAATACTTAATAGGTAATTTAAAAATCTCTGTTAATGGGAGTGTAAATTGCTACAATCTCTTTAATCCTCACTCAAGGATGTTTTTCCATCAATTTTTAGAGAGAGTGGAAAGGAGGGAGGAGGGGGAAAGAGACAGACAAGCAGACAGACAGACAGACAGACATTGATGTGAGAGAGACACATCAAAATGTATATATCTTTGACCGGGAATTGAACCTGCAGCCCTCTGGTCCATGAGCCGATGCTCTAACCACTGAGCCAAACTGGCCAGAGCTCACAGTCTCTTTAGGGAGCAATTTAGCAATATGTATCAAAGCCTTAAAAATGAGCATATTCTTTGTTTCAGTAATTTCATGTCTAAAAATATATCCTTTAACATAATAGCCATAATTATAAACAATGAGTTACTTCAAGTTTGCTCACTGAATGTTGTTTATAGATTAATGAACAAGATAGAATATAATCAATTCTAACTTATTGCTTAAATAAAACATAACAAATATAGCCAGCAAAAATATGATGAATATCTATATTTAATGATATGGAAGAATATCGATTATATATTTTTATTATTATTATTTTTTAATCCTCACCCAAGGATATTTTTTCCATTGCCTTTCAGAGAGAGTGGAAAGGGGAGAGAGAGAGAGAAACACTGATGTGAGAGAGACACATTGATTGGTTGCCTCCCACACGCGCCCTGCCTGGAGCTCGGGACGAGCTTGCAACCCAGGTACATGTCCTTGGCTAGAGTCGAAGCCAAGACCCTTTGGTCTGAGGTCCGATGCTCTAACCACTGAGCAAAACTGGCCAGGGCCTATTATATATTTTAAATGAAAAATTCTGATGACAAAAAGGTGTGAGATAACCCATTTTTGTTTTTTGGTTATAAAAACATATACTGAAAAATATTAACAGTAATTATCTATGTGGTGAAATTATGAGTAATTTTTGTTATTTTCTTCCACGTTTTTCCTTTTCTGCAGTGAGAATATATTTTTTATAATAAAATAATAAACATATCTATTTTTAAAGAAATGTGCATCTTGAGTCTGGGAAGCAAGGTTTCCTTTGGAGATTCATTGTCAGCATGGTATAGGAGCTGTCGTGGAATGCTAAAAAAGAAGACTACCAACACAAAACCCTGGGGAATACCAACATAAGCAATGTCAGGGAGGAGGACTACTTAAAACCATCAAGCAGCATANTTGGTGACTGAATGTAGGGGCTGAAAGAGAGTATTTAGGATAATTATTAACTTTCTTGCTTGGGTAACTGGGTGATGAATGTGATTTACTGAGAAAAGACATTTTGGGGTTCCTCCTCTTGAGAGCAGGAACTTCTATCAGTTTGAGTCACTGCTACATCCTCAATGTCTAAGACTGTGTGCCTGGCTCACAGTACAGACTAAGTACATATGTTATGAAAGAATTAATAAAGAAAAAGAAGATTGGCAGAGGGAATAAAAGGTGAGTTCAGTGACATCTATGTATATAAATACTTAATAGGTAATTTAAAAATCTCTGTTAATGGGAGTGTAAATTGCTACAATCTCTTTAATCCTCACTCAAGGATGTTTTTCCATCAATTTTTAGAGAGAGTGGAAAGGAGGGAGGAGGGGGAAAGAGACAGACAAGCAGACAGACAGACAGACAGACATTGATGTGAGAGAGACACATCAAAATGTATATATCTTTGACCGGGAATTGAACCTGCAGCCCTCTGGTCCATGAGCCGATGCTCTAACCACTGAGCCAAACTGGCCAGAGCTCACAGTCTCTTTAGGGAGCAATTTAGCAATATGTATCAAAGCCTTAAAAATGAGCATATTCTTTGTTTCAGTAATTTCATGTCTAAAAATATATCCTTTAACATAATAGCCATAATTATAAACAATGAGTTACTTCAAGTTTGCTCACTGAATGTTGTTTATAGATTAATGAACAAGATAGAATATAATCAATTCTAACTTATTGCTTAAATAAAACATAACAAATATAGCCAGCAAAAATATGATGAATATCTATATTTAATGATATGGAAGAATATCGATTATATATTTTTATTATTATTATTTTTTAATCCTCACCCAAGGATATTTTTTCCATTGCCTTTCAGAGAGAGTGGAAAGGGGAGAGAGAGAGAGAAACACTGATGTGAGAGAGACACATTGATTGGTTGCCTCCCACACGCGCCCTGCCTGGAGCTCGGGACGAGCTTGCAACCCAGGTACATGTCCTTGGCTAGAGTCGAAGCCAAGACCCTTTGGTCTGAGGTCCGATGCTCTAACCACTGAGCAAAACTGGCCAGGGCCTATTATATATTTTAAATGAAAAATTCTGATGACAAAAAGGTGTGAGATAACCCATTTTTGTTTTTTGGTTATAAAAACATATACTGAAAAATATTAACAGTAATTATCTATGTGGTGAAATTATGAGTAATTTTTGTTATTTTCTTCCACGTTTTTCCTTTTCTGCAGTGAGAATATATTTTTTATAATAAAATAATAAACATATCTATTTTTAAAGAAATGTGCATCTTGAGTCTGGGAAGCAAGGTTTCCTTTGGAGATTCATTGTCAGCATGGTATAGGAGCTGTCGTGGAATGCTAAAAAAGAAGACTACCAACACAAAACCCTGGGGAATACCAACATAAGCAATGTCAGGGAGGAGGACTACTTAAAACCATCAAGCAGCATACTGGTTGAGTCAGGGAAAGACTGACAGACTCATGTTGTAGCAGGTATCTGGAGGCCATAGAGAGAAGGGGAGATGTATAAGTGGAGGCAGAAAGTAAAGAAAACTTTCACAAAATTTGGCTAAAAGGGAAGGAGTGAGACTGTGCAGTGGCTAGAAAGGCACATTGTGTGGTGATGGTCTGGTAAGCCAGGTCACTCCTGGTGGTGACTGGCTGTCTTGTCACATTTCTCTCCATGATGGAAAGGCCAGATGATCTGGATGGAGTCCATGTGGTGCATGATATACCTGTGCTCCCCAAAGCTCCGTAGCCTGCAAGAGCTGGAGGAGCGCCAGATGCATCTTTCTGACCTCGCCCCCCATGACACCACCAGGGATCTCATTTTGCTGAACCAGCAGCGACTGGCTGAGATTGAGCTGTCCACCCAGTTGGAGAGGAAGAAGGAGGAGCTGCGGGTCCTATCTAAACACCTGGCCATGGAAAAGAAGAAAACCGAGACCTTGCTTTATGCCATGCTGCCCGAACATGTGGCCAACCAGCTGAAGGAAGGCAAAAAGGTGGCTGCAGGTAAGGCCTTCCTTTCCTTTCACAGGGACCTTGGAGCGTGAGGCAGTGTGCCTAACTGGTTAAGGGCGGAGTATCTGAAGCCAGGCAGATCTGGATTCGAATTCTGGCTCTATCACTTGTGAGCAACATGATCTTGGGCTAATGACTGAAGCTACATATCCTCCGTTTTCTCCTGTCTACATAGAGAATAATAAAAATAATACAGAAGCAAAATAGGGATTAAATAAAAATGCCTGTCAGCTAAACCAACATATATAACGTTCTCCAGGAATTTAAAGCCGTATCCTAAGACTCACCTTTGCTTAATGGCCATGAATAGAGTTCTTCACTATGACTGGAAATGATGCACCTGAACATTAAACCATGGGGTGCCTCTGAGAGCCCTTCTGTGAGAGCAAGCTGTTTCTGGAAGGAAGGATGCCATGTTTACTCCAAACTCACTTTCCATTTGTAATGTGTTCATTCACCCTACATGTATGGTGAACTTAGTCCCAGGGTGCTGCCCCAGGTTCCGGGAACACAGAGGAGTTTGCAGTTTTGTGGGTTTGGAAGGTACACACAGAATAAGTTAGTGGGGGAGGACCTGAGCATGGCCAAAGGGAAGAAACTAACATTCATTAAGGAGCAAATATTATGCTAGAATCTGTGTTAGACATTTTATGTTTGCTATTTCACTTAATTTTCTGAACATTTCTAGGAGGGAGGTGTTATTTATCTATACTGTACAGCTGTTACTTATCCATACTGTACATTTACCCCAGCTTATGAGTAAACCAATAAGTTCATCTAATTCAAAAATTCATGCTATTTCCACCACATAAGGTGCCATGGAAACACAGATGACAGGGAGATTAAGAATAAATAGAAGTCAGAAAAGGAAGAGATGGGGCAGGGGGAGGTTGTGAAGGCTTATATAAAGTGTGTGGCACTTGAGTTGGGCCATGAGGCTGAATATAAGCAAAAAAACGGGGGGAGGCATTTTAAGAGAGTGAGATGGCAAGAGGAAAGGTAAGGTCATGTAAAAATAAATACTGTTGGTATTGTCCTTAGAACATGGGGGTACAGCCCGGCCGGGCGTGGCTCAGCGGTTAAGTGTCGACCTAGGATCCAGGAGATCAGGGTTCTATTTCCAGTCAGGACACATGCCCGGGTTACGGGCTGCAGCCGATCAATGACTCTCTCATCATTGATGTTTCTATCTCTCTCTCTCCCTCTCCTTTCCTCTCTCTGAAATCAATAAAGATATATTTAAAAAAAAAAAGAACATGGAGGTACATAGCAAAGTGGTGCCTTATGAAGCTGGGCAGATAGGATGAGGCTCAGGTGATATAGTGATGAATCTGGATTATTATGGGAAAGGAAATTGTTTTACATTTTAGATGCGTGAGTTCAATGAAGTTGTTTTTCTTATAATGGAAGAGACGTGATTAACTTTGTAGATATGATTTTGGTTACAGTGCAGTGAACGCATGCGAGGGAGGCATACTGAAAGCCCGTCACAGTGCAGTTCAGTGATGGTAAAGGCTTGAATTAAGGCAGCATGAGTAGAAATCAGCAGGATTTCATAACTGATAAGAAGGGGAAGGTAAGAAATAGGGGTCAGTCATGAGTGTGAGGGTTATAGTGGTGTAGTAGATGTGATGCTTTATCTTAAGACAGAACAGAAAGAATAGGTGTGAGGGCAGCAAAGTAAGGTTGGTTTTAGAACTGTTGAGTGTGACATGCCTATGGGATGCCCTCTCTAACACGACCAACAGGTAGTAAGGAATTGTAGGGAGAGCTCAGTGGAAGTTCTAGGACAGACCTACAGACCTGGGAGTTATTCCAGGGTATGTGGCGGTTAATCATACACCCTGTGGGCGATGTATAAGGTCATCTAGGGGGCATCAGGTAAAAGAGAAGACAGTTGGGAATTGAACCGTAGGGGACTCCTATTATGTGAAAACAGAAAAAAGCCAGTGAAATATATAAAACCAGGAATGAGAAAAGTAGGAAAAATATAGAGAGAATGGTGGGCCAAAGCCAAAGAGAAGAGAAATTTAGATGAATGGGAAATTATTACCATAGGTATAAATAATACAGAAGGCACAAGCTCTGTTCAAAGAGATAGCTATTTAGTCTTTCAACAGATATTTATTGAGCATCTACTATGTGCCAGGCCCTGCTCTAGGTGCTGGGGATATAGCAGAGTTCAAAACAGCCTCTCATCTCATGAAGCTTATGTTTCAATGGGGGAGATAGGCAATAACCTAATAAACAATCTTATATAAAATATCATGCAGTGTAAGTCTTGTGGGGTGGAGTGCAGCATTCAGACTAAGAGGACAGTGATCTAGGAACTGTTCTTTTAGATAGGGTGGTCAGGAAAGTTCTCACTGAAGTGGTTACATTTGAAGTGGTGAGACAGAGCCCCATGGATATTTGAGATGAGAGTATGTCATGCAGAGGACACAGCAGGTACAAGGGCCCAAGCAGGAGGCACTTGCTATGCTGGAGAAACCCCAAGCAGGCCAGTGTGTTTGGGCTGGGGTGAGCCGGAGGGAGAGCATGGAAACATGAGGTCAGAGAGGTGGTGGGGACAGAGTGAGTCCCTTTTTGGGCCATGGTAAGGAATTTGTGTTTTAGCTTAAGTGTGATGGAAGTTTTGGGAGATATGAGGCAGAGGAATTGGGGATCTGACTTAAACAGATAATCTGGCTGCTCTATGTAATTAGCAAGCATGGGGAAAGGGCAGAGGCAGCCAGATGAGTTGAGGGCATTGCTGAGGATATGGGAGCATCGTGGCTGTACTTCATGGTGACCAGTTCTACCAGCCCTACCTCTGGGTGTGCTCTAGTTCAGATTCTGCCTTGGCCCAAGGGCTTCTCTTAAGTCCAGTGCCCACTCATCCTATTTCTGACGTTCCACAGCACTTTGCATGTCTTATTGAGTATCTTTTTACTCTTCTGTCTCCTTCTCTTGACTGGGAGCTTCTTAAAAGCAAGGTCTGTGTTTGCATCATGTTACATGGTTTTCCCAGTATGATGACTAGCTCATAGCTGTCAAAACGTCAGTTGGGTGAATGGTGAGTGGTCAGTGGCACCTGGCTCCTTTTCCCCAAGGCATAGTCAGATTTGGTTCACAAGGGGCACTTGAATTCAGGACTCATGGAATTATTATTCTATATCCTTGACTATTATTAATACCTGGTTTCTGTTTCAGGAGAATTTAAAACCTGCACAATCCTTTTTAGTGATGTGGTGACATTTACAAACATCTGTGCTGCCTGTGAACCTCTCCAAATAGTGAATATGCTTAATTCAATGTACTCCAAGTTTGACAGATTGACCAGTGTCCATGAAGTCTACAAAGTAAGTGTTTGTGTCCTGTGGCGTGTGTGTCACAGTGCTCTTAGGCAGGCAGGTACTTAATGACAGGCCTTCCTCTTCACTGGCCCGGTGTTTGGTATGGATGAGAGCAGGGTGAGGAGGGAAGCTTAAAAGGGATTGGAGATGTTTTAGAAGTTTTTGTTTCTTAGGAATACCTCATAGTACCCAATACTAAGATGCTTTTGGGGGCACACAGTTTGCCCAGAGAGGAGTTCTCCTACTCCTTAAATTCACTAGCAAATCTAATCCAAAAAGTATGTATTGAATGCACAACATCATACACTTACCCCAGGAGCTTCATCTTCTCTGGGAATTGTTCCCACCAGAAGCAGAAAGGCCTTTGGCTCTCTCTTGGTTGTTTTCTGAGTCATTTTTGTTCCCACCTCCTTCTTCACACTCCTCACACCCCTAGCAAATAATCACCAACTTTAATATAACCCTTCCACCAGCATGTGAAAAACGACAAAAATATCTAGTGATATGTTTGTTGCATCTAGGAAAACCTCTGAATACCCTCTTTTCCCTTACAGGTGGAAACAATAGGAGATGCTTACATGGTGGTAGGGGGTGTGCCAGTGCCTATTGGAAGCCATGCTCAAAGAGTGGCTAATTTTGCCTTGGGGATGAGAATTTCTGCAAAAGAAGTAATGAATCCTGTTACCGGAGAGCCTATCCAGGTAGAGAGCAACTGAGTGTTTTGCTTAACACCAACCATCTCATACAAAAAGTAGAATTATCTTTATTAGTCTGCTTAGATGATTCCTGGGTATGTTACAGTACTTTCAATGAATGATTTTTCCCAGATCTTCTCTTCTCTTGCATATGTTACTAAGTAATAGAGATATTAGTCAGGATATTATTGTTCCAACTTCTCTCAAATTTCAGAAGAGGCTTTGGAGCTCAGGATTTTCACATGATTCACTACAAGTTTCTTTGTCCATAGTTTAGGACAGTGCTGAGCACGTCTCCTCGTTTACTTTGTAGGCTTCCATCCATCTTGGAAGCCAGCTCGTTTATAATTCCTACTTTTTTGCTCACACATTTCAACAAGTGGTCAGGTTGACTAAATAGCCAACTTTTCCTGCTTAGAAAAATTGTGTATCCAACTTGCTGTTTGACAGGTTCAGAACTCAGGCTGAGGTGTGAAACTGCCTCCAGCCGGCAGGCCAGACATCCTGGTGCCATAAGGTATTCAGAATAGCTTTCCTTCCACCACGCAGCCATTAGCTAGACATCTGCTTTCCTTTCTTTCAGGAAGCTACTCTTGCAGCTTGTTTACTCTATAAAAGTTGGACAATTTTGGAGATGAAAAGTAGGTGTCCCCTTCTGTCTGCTCAGCAGATCCTAACAGCCCTGGGATGGCTTAGAACGGTGTCTCTGCCTTTTAAAATTTAATCACTTCCCTGCTCCAATCAGTCAGATCTTCAAATAGACAACTAAAAATAAAGCCAATTATAGGATGGAATATGATTTTTCCAATTAAAGCTCCTATGCAGGAGATTCTGAAAATGTGTTCAGCTCACCCTCACCACAATAATTCCAAAGCTGAGAAATGCTGCAGATCCTGGTTATTGTGTCCACTGTAGTTTTCTAAGTACAAGTTGGCTTTAGGTAATTGTGAGATCATCATGTCCACAATACTTGGCCTGTTGTATGCACACAGATACATCTGTTAAATAAGACCCCCAATATAAAAAATAAAAAAATCAAGATGGGAGGTAATGAGGGAATAGAGATAAGAGATATGTTTCAGTTAAAGGAGTCATGGGTGCTATCAAAGCAAAAATAATTGAAAATATACTGTTGCGTAAATAGTGTGTGTGTGTGTTGCTACAACTGTACGAATAAAATTAAACAATGCATTTCTGGAAACTCTCATGGTGGATTTACCAGGAATAAAACAGGAAAAGATGTTATCAATTCTAAGATAAGAATAGGGGTGAAGTTAGGAGCATCATTAAATATCCACCAGAAATAGCATGCCATGTGGGCTTATTTAAGGCAGTAGGAAAAAGGCTAGAAACGTTTTCTCTCTCAAGATAATTCTGCTGGATTCCTTTCCTTCTTCTTCTTTTTTTTACAAGATAATGAAACAAAGCTAATTCTATGCAAATTCTCAAAAACTTATACTCAATATACTGTTTCTAAAATGTATGTCACCTTTTATGTAATGGATTTATTATTTCATCTTTCCTTTCTAGTTTTTTGCTTGTTTGTTTTTGTCTTTTCTTTACATTTCTTCGGTAGAAGCCAGTCTTTTTTTTAAAAAGTTATCTTTATTGTTGAAAGTATTACAGATGTCTCCCTTTTTTTCCCCATTGACCCCTTCTACCCCACACCCACCCCCCTCCCCAGGCCTTCACCACACTATTGTCTGTGTCCATGGGTTATGCATATATGCATATAAATTCTTGGTTAATCTCTCCCCCCAACCCCCCACCCCCGCCTTCCCTCTGAGATTCCTCAGCCTGTTCCATGCTTCTGTGCCTCTGGATCTATTTTGTTCATCGGTTTATTTTTGTACTTTAGATTCTACATGTAAGTGAGATCATGTGATATTTGTCTTTCTCTGCCTGGAAGCCAGTCTTGAGTTGCCCAGTTAGGATCCTCTGACCTACTATTCTGATTAAGTTTCTTCTCAATATTCATGACCAACATCTGGCTTCTAAATGAGAGGCTTTTGGTCTTTTCAATCACTTGCTGATTGGGAGAGATTGCACTGTTACCATAACCACATGAATACTTTAGAATCAATCTTGGCATCCAGTCTTGCATTTCTAATCAAATTTACAATCCACCTTTCAGCTTCTTCTGGAGTCATATTCATTTTATCTCATGCTTCATTTCTATAGTTTTGAAATTAGTACTCTTTGAGATCTTCTATTATTATTATTATTATCTTTATTGATTTCAGAGAGAAGGGAGAGGGAGAGAGAGAGAGAGAGAGAGAGAAACATCAATGATGAGAGAGTCATGGATCAGCTGCCTCCTGCATGCCCCCAACTGGGGATCGAGCTCGCAATCCAAACATGTGCCCTGACTGGGAATCGAACCGCGACCTACTGGATCCTAGGTCGATGCTCAGCTGCTGAGCCATGCCCGGCCAGGCGAGATCTACTATTATTTAATTCATATAACCTTTAATGTACATTTATGGAGGTCATACGATGCATGAGACCGTATTGCTAGGTGCTTTGAAGGATTCAGAGAAATATATGACAGGCTCCTTTTCCTAGAGGAAGTTATAATCATATTTCTGGAGAAAAATCTATCATGAAAACAAAAAGACAAGTAAATTTGGTTAGGATGTAGAAGGCTGCAAGAGACTTCTATTTCCATACTAGAACTTGAAAAAAAAACAAACACAAAAAACTTCAGAGAGCAAAGAGATATAAATGAGCTAAATTCTAGAAAGTGACAAGCCCTTTCAAGGAGAAGACACTCATAATTATATTCACCAGTAGTAAAGCAGCAGAAGTAATCCACCAGAGACAAAGGTAAGGAGAAACCAGACTAAATTTTAGTGAATGTTTCACGGCCACACCGGGGCTGAAATGACAGGTTAGAATTCCCTAAATCCTCTTTGATATGTCCTGGCCACAGAGGCTGTACCCAAATACCAACTCTTTCCCATAGGCCTTCACCAAGTACATAGGGTTATTCTGCCAAAGCCTAGGGATAAGGAACCGGAGTTGAGAGAGGTCTCAGTTCCTGACGTATATAAGGCCTTCCCCAAATGTAGGTCAGTGGCCCATGGAAGGGTGGTGTTAGAGTAGAACTAAGAGAAATCCCTCTGAGGTATCTTGGCATTCACCAAGTGCACTACAATGACCCTTTAACGTCTGGAGGCAGAAAGAAATCTCCTCAGGTAGAGAGAGCCATGGTAGGACTGATGAGTAAGGAGACTCCCCAAAATCTCACCGTTGGTCTATAAAGCAGAAAGAGATCTCCAATAATTCGGAAAGCTCATGGTGTGGCTGTACAGCATGAGGAGGTCTCAGAGCCTTGCTGATGCTCAGATCCCAAGCCCTGCTGGGGGGAAAATTCCTATCCAGCCTTTGTAATATTTAAAATCAGTGCTGCATGGAAACTAGCAATATCTCTGGCAAGAGCTCAGGCCCCACTCAGATCCAGATTAGTTCATTCAGTCTCCACTCTAGCACACTCACAGAAGAAGGGGTATAAACTTTTCTGAAGGGCAAATATTATGTACTTGCAGAGATTATAGACCTGAACTGGAAAGGGGCCCAATATAATTTTGCGAGGTCTATATTATAGTCTATAATTTATTTTGGATGCTACCTATAGGATATATGCATTTGTCAAAGCACTTAAGATCTGTCTTTTATGTAAAGTATTCCTTAACTTAAAAATAAAAGCAAGAGTATTTGATGGTCTCTTTTCAGTAAGGCTCTCTCTATACAGATCAGAGTAGGGATTCATACTGGACCAGTCTTAGCAGGTGTCGTGGGGGACAAGATGCCCCGGTACTGCTTGTTTGGTGACACCGTGAACACAGCTTCTAGGATGGAAAGTCACGGGCTTCCCAACAAAGTGCACCTCAGCCCCACAGCCTACAGGTAACCACTCATTTTCTCTTGCTTTCCTTTGTCCCTTCTCCTTCCAGAGCTTACAGAAGGCCTAGCAGCAGTGAGATGGGGTAGTGGAGGAAGCCCATGTTTTCTCTTCTATGCCACACTAACTTACAGAAGACATAGTGTCAGACAATAAATATTGTTGAACCTCTGCTATAAGATAGTTTTTGCTCTCAGGGAACATAAGGTCTAGATGTATATTTAATGTTACCAAAAAAAAAAAAAAGTCCCAAAGGCCAAATCCAGTCTGCCACTTTTTTTTTTGTAAATAAAGTTTTATTGGAACACAGCCATGCTCTTTTATTTGCACACTGTCTATGGCTGCTTTCATATTACAACAGTAGAGCTGAGTGATCTTTTTTTAAAAAAATATATCTTTATTGATTTCAGAGAGAGGAAGGGAGAGGGAAAGAGAGATAGAAACATCAATGATGAGAGAGTCATTGATTGGCTGCCTCCTGCACATCCCACATTGGGGATTGAGCCTGCAGCCCCCCGCATGTGCCCTGACCAGGAATTGAACTGTGAGCTCCTGGATCCTAGGTTAATGCTCAACTGCTGAGCCACATCCTGCTAGGTGAGTTGAGTGATTTTAAGAGACTGTATGGTCTGCAAAGCCAAAAATATTTACTATCTGCTCTTTTACAAAAAGAAGTTTGCTGAGTCTCGGTCTAGTGGAAGAAGAAAGAAATATTCACAGATCATTATTTTAAAAGTGTGATAAATGATAAAGATATGCATAAAATGATACTTATGGTTTCTTGAGAACTTACAAGAGGTCACATTCTATCCTAAGTTCTTTTACATAATGTTAGTACATTTACTGTTACAACAACTCTGTGAAGATATACTGTAATTATTATCTATCGATGAAAAAAATCAGGCACAAGAAGGTTAGTAAGTTGCCTCTGGTCACAGGTAGGGTAGGAAGGAGAAGAGCCTGGATACAAGCCAGGGGATCAGGCTTGGAGGGAATTACAGTGTGTGTTCTGGGAGCCTGGGGGAAGGGTGCCTAACCCAGTAAAGAAATTCTTTGTGGAGGAGGAGATTCCTGAGCAGAATCTTGAGCAAGGAGTTCTGGAGTAGGATTTAGCCCAAAATGGGGTATTAGGAGTGAAAAACAAGCAGGATAAACACTAAAATAGGGTCAGTATAGAGAACTATAAACAATTTCATTTGCTGGACTGAAAATATAAAGCAGAAAGTGGTGAGGATGTGCGCCTGGTTGAGGGGCTAGGGCTTACTCTGTCGGTGAGGAAGAGCCCCTGAGGAGGGTGAGATCCCAGACAATGGCAAGGCCAGCGTCCTATAGGACACGGACCACTCCAAACCAAGTGAGGACAGATATGAGCATCAGGAAATGGGAAGAAGACCTGTTAGGAGCTTGGTTTGAATCAGAACTTTGGCAGTAGGAATTTGGGGGAAAGTAAAGTCAGCTGAATTTGGTAGCTGCTAAACATGTAGAATGAGAAAGAGGGACCTGCCTGGTCTCCACCTTGGGTAGCTAGAACCTGAACCTCACCATCTGAAACAGGACAAGTGAGAAGGAGTCCAGGTCACTGGGGCAGATGACGCGTTCAGGTGTGGAAGTGTTGCATGAGAAGGGATTGTGGGGTATCTTGGTAAAGATGCTATGAAATGGATGAATGAAATTTGAAGTGGAGTTGTTGGCTGAGATCCACACTTGGACTAAGCAACATATAGGTAGTAATTAAGCCATGAGAGTTGATAAGATCACCTGGGGAAGGATGCAGTGTGAAAAGAACAGTGTCTGCAGAAAGAGGAGCCCATGTATGAGGTGGAAGAAACAGAAAGGAACCAGGGAAGTTCAGGGTGAGAAGCACCCTTGTGTATATTTTTAAGGAAGAGAAATTGAATAAAAATGTCAAATATAGTAACAGGACTGGAAAATATTCACCAGAGGTTAGGGGGACATCTTCAGAAGTTGCGGTAAAATGGTGGGACTAGACACTGGGTTATGGGTGGAGGAATGAAAGGAAGAGAGTATTCTTACAGGATTAAAGCAGGACAGGATCAAGTGAGAAGTTCTTCACTTCTACTTAGGATGAAAGAGACCTTAGCATGCTGGTAGGCCGAGAGGATGCAAGTGGAGAGGGAGCTGAAGATTAGGGGAGAGGAGGCTTGTGGGTCCAGGGCCCAAGGAATTGGGAAGGGAGCATGAGTAGGGTGCCCTTGAGCAAGACACGTCGTCCTCTGAGACTGAGGAAAAGGTGGGTGTGGCAGATGAGAGGAGAAGTTGCTGGGTCCCACCTATAATGGCAAAAATTTCATAGATGAATTGGATCACAAAGTAGGCGGCACAGTCGGATGCTTGAAAATGAGGCGAGAAGGTGCCAGATGAGGGACAGTGAGGAGCATGGCAAATATCCGCAAGTTCCACAGAAGCAGCCAAGGAGAAGGGGGGCTGATGAGTGCTGAGACCTGAGGCAGCCAACCACGAATGGGGAACTTTGCTAGTCTGCACTGTTCTGTGACTCTTCTCCAACATCTCTCCGTAGCCAGTAAATAAATAAACGTTTTAAAGTTCTTCCATAACTCTGTCCCTTTTCATGGTCCCTCTTACCCTCTTCTTGGGTTTCTTGGCAGCCAGAAATCATGGAGAAGCTTGGGTAGTTAGGATGCACATGATGACACCTTGGAGGCATATTGGGTACTTGGGGAAGAAGGAAAGAAGAAGGCTGATCTCCTAGGAGCCTCCTGTTGCAGAACCATGCAGGGGTGGTGCACACACGGGCACAGGGATGTGGTTGTAAGGGTGTGAGGGCTGCAGATATGAGCCCTGTGTTAAAAGGGCAAGAGGTGGTGATCGGCTCACAGCGATTTGGTGGGACCCCTGTGTTCTCCCTCTACCTTTGGCTCCCTTTTCAGAATGTCTGAACTCATACCTCCCTCCTCTCCCCACCTGCCTCTTTGCCCCCTTCAGCAGGCCCTCCTGATGTCCCAGAGTCTCATTCCTCCTCCATTGTGTGCCTTGCACCTCTCTCATTACCTGTCCCATTGTAGCCAACTCTCAAGTTATAGACCTGTGATCTTTGATATCTGGTGCATTTATTTTCCCTCTGTGCAGAGCCCTGGAAAATCAAGGGTTTGAAATAATTGAGAGGGGTGAAATCCAAGTGAAAGGAAAAGGCAAAATGACCACATACTTTCTGATCCAGAATTTGAACGCCTCAGAGGATGAGATCATGGGGAGACCTCAAACTCTGTTTGATCACAAAGGTAAGCCAAGAAGAGAAGCCTCACTGTGAGTGTTGAATATTTTTCCCACTGACGATGTTGGATACGTTTAGTGTGGTCCTTTGGTTTGCAGGGTCAGTGTGGGTATCATCCCTCCCCACAGCCAAGCTGCTACCTTCTGTTCAGTAACAGTTCCAGAGAATCAGTGCGACCATTTTGTCCTGAACACCCTTCTCTTGCATCCTGGATGTTATGTTGCATCCTTGAGCTGGGCTGATGGACAGTCTAAGGGTCTCTTATGCATTTGTTTTCAAGGTTCTTCCCTATCCTAGAAATGGGCTTTTCCCAGCAGCCTCTCATGCAGCTGGGGATGGCTCCAGAGTCTCCCTCTGCTCCCCAGCCTCAGAGGATCCAGAACAGGCTTTCCTCACACACTGGAACCTTCCACCTTCCTCACTTTCTGCTGGCTTCCAAACCTGGGAAGAAGGAGCTGTGACTCACCCAGCTCCAGGAATGACAAAAAAAATGAGTTTAGGTTAAAACCACCCAGTGCTAAGCTGGACCAGGGATCACTGTTTGGCATCTTGTGCTAAAAAAAAAAAAAAAAAAAAAGCATATAGAACTCAACAAGGAGGTCTCCAGCAGCTGTGAGGTGGATCCCATCCATCCCACCCTGTCAGGGCCCCTTAACAACAACCCTGGTTAATGCTGAGAAATGCTGACCAGAAGGGAAACCCAGTAGCAGGAGGCAGACCACTGTGAACCTCTGAACCAAATGGGATACGAAATGGATTCATTTGGACAGAAGCTAATCTTAGCTGCTCCAGGGTCCTGCAAAGAAAAATTTCTAAATCCAGAGCTTTCTCGTTTACATGGCTAATATATGCAGATGTCTCTTTGGGACATGAAATATGGCTACTATTTTTATAGTCGGGGCTATATCAACAAACTTACGGGTATTTGGAGAAGTTTTAAAATTGTTTTCGTAGTACTTTTATTCTAATACCAATTCACCTTAGTGTCCCTGTGAGCTGTGATAGGTTTTGGACACATTTATACTGATGGAGGCATTAAACTAAAACTTTACTGATGGAGACACTAAACTAAACTAGTTTAGAAAGATCTAAACTAAAAACTATAGATAACTGGCTAATAAAACCCAGGAGCCACCCTCATGGGAGTTTTTGGTCCCTGAATTTCTAGGCTCTGGGCGCCTTGCCTACCAACACTGCCCCCACCTTTCACCATATCTTCCCCCAGCACAAAGGGTTACTAGAAAGGGATAAACAATCATTTTTTCTCTTTTTTTCTTTGTTGTCAGAAATAGACAAAGTAAAGGGGGTGGGGGTTTCTTGCCACCTGCTTGTGGGAGAGAGGAAGACAGAGCTGAAGGCTTTAGCACGGGCTGAGAAGATATGCCTAGCTCAGACCTGATACTGCTTTCTCCCATTCCCACGCAGGGGTTCCCAAACTTTCCAGTTTGAAAAACAGGATTGTAGAACATGGTCTGGGTCAGTAGAATCTAACCCGCTTTCAGTTCTGAGCTGGGAAAACAAAACAAAACAAAAATAACCAAGTAGGAAATTTGTAATGGTGCCCCAACTGAAGAGCTCAGTGTGCACCCTGGGAAACGAGAGGGAGAAAGGGGTGCAGAGAGGGAGAGGCAGCCCCACCGGGCTCTAAATAGTGTCTCTGTGCAAACTGGGAAAAGGCACCCTTTGAGAGTAAATAGCCCTCAGGTATGCCTTGTAACAGAGCTCCGTCACCCCTTCCTCTGGGCTGGCGCCAGTCTCCACCCGGCCTGACCCCCTTGGCCAGGTGTCTCCAAAGAGAAACGGCACAACCCTGTGTGTGGAACCCAGAGCGGGGGGCGGAGCCTATTCCTTTTTGTGCTTCTGCGCGTTGCCCTCGCCCCCTTCCTCATCAGCCTAGGACTTCCTGCCCTGAGCCTCCGCTGCCAGGCTCCGGGGCAGGGGGTGCCTGCCCCTCCGTGCCCCCCATCCCCGCGGAGCACAGCCCGGAGGCTCCGCAGGAGCAGGAGGGCCAGGATCCCTCAGGGGAGGCCTGTGCTGACGCTGCTTCCTAAGTGTCTCAGAATGAGGCCCCAGAATGTGACCCCATTCCGGAGGCTCCGCAGGAGCAGGAGGGCCAGGATCCCTCAGGGGAGGCCTGTGCTGACGCTGCTTCCTAAGTGTCTCAGAATGAGGCCCCAGAATGTGACCCCATTCCGGAGGCTCCGCAGGAGCAGGAGGGCCAGGATCCCTCAGGGGAGGCCTGTGCTGACGCTGCTTCCTAAGTGTCTCAGAATGAGGCCCCAGAATGTGACCCCATTCCGGAGGCTCCGCAGGAGCAGGAGGGCCAGGATCCCTCAGAGGAGGCCTGTGCTGACGCTGCTTCCTAAGTGTCTCGGAGGCCCCAGAATGTGACCCCATTAACCTCTAGGGGTGGAGACCCTCAGAGCCAGCCAAGGTGGAGGGGACAGGAAACACTGATATGCACACTAACGCTCTTCCCCCACGGGCCTCTCCCCTCAGGTGAGCTCCCGCCGGGACACACACTGGCTTTGCAGGGGACTGGGGGAGGCGTGCGGGGGGACCAAGAGGATGAACTTGAAGAGATCTGCGTGTGCCCCCAGCGCTGAGAGTTAGTGGTGGGCCGCGGCGTGTCGCGGCAGGGGCCTCAGCGGGGCCCTCCCGGGTCCTCAGGGCGGGCGCCGCCCCCTCGGCGCCTCTTCACCGGCACGAGGATGCCCGCGAGGGGCAGCGGCGGG